CACTTTTCCTACATACTTGATCTGTGAGCAGGCCTCGCTTGGTTTTATCTCACAGCTGTCAAATGATTCGGACTTTTATTATGTACAACTGACACAGAAAAATTGGAGAATTAGAAAAAGGACAATACATAACTAAAAAAGGTCCTAAAAAGTCAAATCAATAATCAAAACAGAAAAAGGACATGGAATTGAGGTTCTGGACTGCCTCTAGGTATTTGTCTATCCCAATGATTTTGAGTTGAAACCTGTTTGATCAACAATGGGGTAGGTATGGAGGACGGAAAATAACATATATTTATAAATAAATGTGGAGACAAATGTAAAAATAAATGTTAAATTCATTATTTTGATGAACGACTTTCATTTATTTATTTATGTATTCATTTAATTATTTCCATATCTTTTTCTTTCAAATGTAATTTGTATTCCTCTTATTTATGAAGTTATTATTTCTGTATTTATTTCTGTATTGATGCATTTGTTTATATATGTATACTAATGTAATAGTTATACTACTTATTTACTGTCATTTACCTGTTGTAAGATAATGGATAATCATGGCAGAGGATACATTTATACTGAAAGTGTTTGAGATTGTGGATTATTTTGTTAATCTGCTGCTCCAAAATCATCTATCACTGCCCTAGAAACCGATTCATATACAAAAATAAGGGCAGAAATCCAAGCTTATTTGAAAACCAAATCTGTTGTTATTCATATCATATATCAGCTGTTTATGATGGAAATGTCAGATCAAGTTAGCTTTAAATGCATTTGATAAGGCATTCAGTTTGCCCTTTAGCAGCATTAGAGTCAAAAGATGTTGTCCTCCTTGGGGTGAAGATGTGAATGTTAATACACTACAGTCTAAAAGCTATAGGGATATATAACTTCTTCATGATTTGTCTAGCCTAACCTCTTTAATAAGGGTTCTATATGTAAAATGGCACAAAAAAACATTATAATTGTAATGAAGGGGGGATGAAAAAGAAGCGAAAGCATAGAGAAAGCTACCATGGCCTTAACACTATCGTGCATTTTAAACACTGCAGACAAACACCTTTCAAAAAAGCAGTATGAGGCATGGGGTGTTTCTCAATGTCGAGTACGCTTGCTTGGTAGCACATGTCTTCCGAGCGTTTTGCTTCAGAAGCGAGGCAAGAATCTTTCCTGGCATTCGGAAAACGAAGACTGGAACAGGCGAGCAAGTGTGCGTCATATGAGAGGCCCCGCCTTACATTTTCCGCCACAGATTTGGGGAAATTGGTCCGTGCGCAAAGCATTGTGGGGATTTTAAGACCGCGGAGTCTACACATGTGCAGCCTCGACATTTCTCCAAACGAAATGCCGGGCTCGGTAGAATTCCNTGGTTTAAAGGGGCCTTATTATGCTCATATTCTGGATCCTATATGTATTTTGATCCTCTACTGTGACAGGTCTCCATGCTTTAATGTTAAAAAAGCTCTTTCTGAAACCAGAGCCCAGTCTGCTCTGATTGGTTAGCTGGCTGGCTCTGTTGTGATTGGTCAACCGCTTAGAGATGTCCTGCTCCTTAGCCTATCACATACAATATGTTGGAGCGCTAGCCAATAGAAACGCGTGTGTTACCTAGTGATGTCACTATGTCGTTGAAGTAAACAAAGGATTCCAATGGAGGCGTTTCATGTTTTTTAACTGGTAACTTTGAGTGTTTAAAAAATTAGTATGTTTTTTTGCTCTGAAATTTGTTGGAGTAGAAGTCCAAGAAGCATACAATGGAAATACTCAAATTAAGTACACAATTCTACAGCTGCTGGTACTCACAACTGAATGCTAGCGAGTGAAATCCTTTTATCAACAAGACAAATCCCTCAGCTTCAAAAACTGATGCTTTGCAAACGTACCTGGCATATTTAATTGCTCAGGTTTTATTCACTTGTTCAATAGCGAGGTACTTTTGGACCCTCCAAATAAAATCCACCTGCCAGCAAACACAATTCAAGATCAATTTACAAAACAGCATGGCGACAAACAATAGAAATTGAGTTTGATTTACACCGCTTGAAAAGAAAAGCAGGAGTCAATAGTCAGAGAGATATGTATGCTGAATAAATTCCACTGGCCTGAGTGGAATGATAAACATGCTCAACAGGTGTAGATTGTGCCCCATAAATCCCATATCTAGCTCACAAAATGAGTATTTACTATACCACAAGGGGGCAAAGAATTCCATTAGAAAAAACAAAGTGTGTCTCAGAGGTTGTTATTGCAAATAAATCAGAAAAAAAACAAGGTGGCTTATCAGAGGTGGTGCTGGGTTGCACTTGTAATGAACTGCACACCAAGGCCCAGAGTGTTTTTCTTTTAGCTCTACACAATAAAAAGCTGCCTGTGTGCCTCTGCATAGGAGAAACATGGTTCACTTGCTGCTTTTGGGAGCTTTTGGGAGGTTTATTCTCCCTTTCATGGCATTGTTCTCGATGTTCTGTTACTCAAAAATGTTTTTATTATGGATTTACTTGTATATCAAAGCATACAGGAAAGCCCACTGGGATTAACCTCCATAACATCCTGCTTTATATCCAGGGGTGCACACAACTTTCTCAGTGAGGTACTCAAATGAGTACCTGGACTCAGTGTTTGGTACTCCAACTTCTGGCTCCCCTCAAAGTTCCCATGAAGCCCTCTGTATCGCGAATGTCAACGGGGGGGGGGGGGGGGGGAAGCTTCACATGTACGTCGGTACGCAAATGCGCTTTGTGACACAAGTGACGGTACGCATTTCAGATTGTTGCCGCGCATGCGTACCTGCGTACCACTTATGTGCACCCCTGTTTATATCCAACACAGTTTATAGAGAGGCTGGCTAAAATAGACTCAATCCCAGAAGACCCCTGTGAGGAAATATCAAACTTTACAGCAGAAATAGATTCTAAAGCTAATTTCCCCATTCAGAACAACTCTATAAGGTAGATAAGGCTCAATACAGTGCATAATAGAATAATACGTTTATTTAGTATAGAAGGCACACAGGTAGTTATAGCACACGATAAAGTGCAATAAAGACTTGTTTAGTTCACTCTTAGATTTAGCTTCTAAGGATCATGCGTTTGACAATTCTCATAATTGTTATACGGTAAAATCATTGTAATCACTGTTGCATTGTAAGGTTATGTTAGGTCACTCTTGGGGTTAAAAGGTTGTTTTCAGTAAGGATTTAAAGAAATAACATATATTTGCAAGACAAATACACAAAACCTTATCAAATATATTTCCATTTGACTGAAAACACCCAATTAAATGCTATATAATGTGTTAGATTATTGTTATAAATTAGTGTTAATATGTATGAGAGCTCAAAGTGTATCTCAGATTGTAATGTTGCCAGACATATGCTGGTCATGTTGCAGTGATGCTGTTAGATCCTGCCTGTTCTCCATTCTTCTTCACTGACACATTAATATTTCCACGACGACTGAAGCAACAATCTAAAGCCTGCAGGTGAAGCGCGTCTGCACACTGTCTGCGTCATCACTGTCTGAACTAAAGAACGTCAGCTGAGAGCTCGGGAGCAATATAAATACTTTATTTATACTATGACAGTGAGTCTGATAAGGATTTAAAAAGCCTCTGAAAGTAAAGTGTCTCTCTGTCGGTTCACCCAGGCAACATCTCTCGATACCCCTAAGGAGGTCTCTGACTAAAGACAAGCCTATTGCACCTTTCAGAGTTGTCTGAACTCTATGTTTTGACGTTTATGCTATCATGTCTTTTCACATTTTGGAAACATTTTTCAACCCGAGTGCGTCAAATACTTCCAAAGTGAATGTTGCTGTCCCACCTCACATGACAAGTTTAATACAGTCCCATTCATATCCACCACATGCTGTCAGATCCATGTAACGCACACAGTCCCCAATGTTTTGGTCTACCTGCAAAATAATTCTGAATTCCAAAATGTTTAACTGTCATAGCCTCAGATAATTTAGCTGAATATAACAGCACCACACATAGCTACTGTGTGTCTTAACGATGTTGGTCCACTAACAGCTGCTACCCTCTGCCAGCCTGCATTTATTCTGTTGTTGTGTCTCAAAAAAAATTGTTTTGATGTTATCACTGGGAAATGGCCATTACTGAAATGTGTTGTTCCCTTCCAGTTTTTAGACTGAACAGAATAGGATTGTGAAACAAAAACAAGTTTGGGTGACACAGCAATGTGTCATTGGAGAAATCTGTAGAGTCTACTTTAACTTCGATTTCAGGTGTCAGTTTTCAGCTTCATGCCCCCGTCTTCCATTGATAATAACTGTAGCCTGTACCTTTGTCCAAAGTGTCTGATCACACCATATATCTTGTTAAAAACCAGGTTTCCTCAAAGCTGCTGCTACTGTAGCAACCTACAGTATGTGATTCATCATAAATAACCAATATGTAAAAATGTGCTTAATCACAAAGATTAAACTGGAATGTTTTAGCCATCTAATCTATCAATTAGACACAGCACACATTGCTGGTCCACTTTGGTTGCTCTACTTTGTTAATTAAGACATATTTAGCTATCCAACAGATGTTATCTCATCCAAATGGGTCTGCTTTAATGTACTATAGGGTATTAGTAATGAGCAGCTGTACTTCAAAAACCCATGTTTAAACAGAACATCGTTTTGCAACATTGTACACTACATAATCCTGGACATTCAACATCAATTGCATAAAACTACTTGCAAATCACATTGGTTGATATTGGCTCAATCTCCATATAATTTAATGAATAAAACATGTTTTAGCAGCAGAGATGCATTGTGGGTCGGCACTCTGTCCTAAAACCATGAGGTCATGTGTTCTCTGGCTGCATGCTGTAAATCAGCCAGGTAATTACCTTAGTCATTAAATTCTGATCCGGCCACAGGTATTGACTCTGTTCTGTATAATAGGTCATATATTATATAATGTAGGGTAATAAAATGTTTTGGAGGTAGAGAAGAGAGCAAATGTGTCACACACACACACACACACACACACACACACACACACACACACACACACACACACACACACACACACACACACAGTGAGATTGATTCAATTTTCCAATAGGACATTTAATTTGTATAAACCAACGGCTGATTTAGTATTATTCTGATTAGCATGTTAAATTAATTTGGGTTATGGCAGTATATGTAATTGAGGATTTAATAATAGCAATACCATGTTAATGTTCAAGGTGATTTTATTAAACATAAGATCATTAGAAAAAGATGCGTTTGAAACAGGATTGATTGGTTTCAAAATTAGGATCTCAGATAGTGTTTCAACGCAAGTAATCAACTGTGGAAGCTTCATTGTGTTAGTTAGTTAGTTAGTTACAATTTCTTACACAAATCATTTAATTATAGTAACATGTCAGAGGCTATTGTAATGCTCAATACATCAGAAAATACAGGCATACAAATATAGATAGGATTAAGGGTAAATGGAAATTTGAGTTATTATTTAGTTATTAAGTTATTAAGAAGACATTTCCAAAGTGGATTTTGCAAGACACTACAGGAGAATAGGGTAAAAATGATTCTAGTCTAAAACTACTTTCACTACCACCTGTTAGATGTGCGGCACGTCCCCTTGAAAACTTGGTTTAGCTGTGCTTACCTTTTATGCGACTGGTGTTCGCTGAGTGGTTAAGAAAATTAAAAAGTACAAATTATTTACGTTAATAACCTTCACAGTAGATTTAAAATTATTATTTGTTGTGTGGTGAGGACATCTGTTGTGGAACTTAGAGAATAAATCACCCTTCGCCTTACTGTACGCCATACCTTTTGTCCTTCAGTCGCCTGAGTTCTACCCATCCTCTCCACGCTGTCCCCGGCCTTCTCTGTGTCCGGTCTCTCTTTCGTGGGTTGAATGTCACCGGTGGATGATCGCTTTCGCTCTAAACTTTCTGTTTCAGTGCTAGAGGTATACCTGTCTATAGTGCCGAATGTACCAGCAGGAGAGTTTGAATTTATGTATACAGGACTGGTAGCATTAGCGTTATTCGTGTGTGCTAAGCTAATATGCTCCTCTGTCATTGCGTGGTTCAGGGAAGCTAATCGCTCCAAAACAGGCTCTTGGAAAGGGGAGTCGCAACATTCGTAAAACTCCTCCGAAGCGGTGGAGAGAGCGGAGTCTGTTCTTGGTGATGAATACCCGTCAGGTGTTGGCGTTCGAAAGTCTAGAGTGTATGCGTGAGAATCGGGGGTAGGCGTGCGAAAGTCTGGGGTGGACGGCGTACGTGGGAGAAATCCATCCGGGGTGGCACAGCGGGTCAGAGCCATGAGTGACTGCAATCCTCTCTCTGATGTCGGTGAAAGCAAGTCTGGCGTGTGTATTTCAGAGAGATGTAATCGCAGGGGTTTCTCAGGTGTGTGTGTGCCTCCTGGTCCTTTAGAGGGTTTTTCTTGAATGTTGTTGTGACTGTTATGCTTGTCAGTATCTGGCATGCCGTCTGTGGGGCGATCGGGTGTTAAACTTGGATTACTTTGCTGATTGTGTGTAACTGTGTGTGTGCTATCACCAGCACTGTCTTTAAATATGTGTGTGGCAGAAATAGGAGTGTGTGTTGGTGCTTTTAAAGAGTCCACAGTATCTGATATATCGTTAACTGGTGCAGGTAACTCACTATACGATATTCTCTGTGGTACGTGTACTTTTGCAACACTATCTTTCTGTGGGGTTAGTTCGACATCCATTGACACCAAAGTCTTGGGCTTGACACTTTTTGGAATGACTTCTTGAGTAATCACATTCTTTACTTTTATTATCAAAACATCTGACTTGGCTTTGTTTCCGGCTATCGATTGCATTCCTGCTCTGTCATCGCCTCCAACTGCTTTCTCATTCATTGTATTTTGGGAAGTCCCACTCTGCTTTTGTTGTGGTGCTTCGACCATATTTAAAATGTCCTTTGCCATTTTCTGCGCCCTTACCTCGCGTTTGCTGTTGTTCTGCTGTTCTGGGACTGTCTCAGCAACTTTTTGAGGCAATGTTGTCACCGTTGTTGCTACAGCAGGCGTATTTATGATCTTTTCCGGCGCTGTGCTTGTCTCAGCCATTGGGATAACACTGATCTCCAGGATTTTCTGGCCTTTGTCGGTGAGGTCGCCCTTGATAACCAGATGGACAGTACGAGGTTTAGGAATGGGTGGTGTTGAAGTCTCAGATGGGGATGCTGGGGACAAAGGGAGGGCAGGAGGGGGAATGGAAGAAGAGATAATGGAAGACTTGGGACTCTTGCTTGTAGTGATGGAGACGTGACTGTTTTCAAAGAGGGGGGTGGAGCTGACAGACTGTGGGGAAGACTTGTGGCTGTTGATGGTGGGAGTCTGGATGATAGGGGTCATTTCAGAGGAGTTTTGTGACTGCGTGTGATCAGCCTGCGATTGTGAGTCCATATGTGGCAGCACTGGCTTTGTTTGTGGGGGCGGCTCTGTGTTCCCTTCAGTGGGACTATGCAGGTGTGAGTCTTGTGTACAGCTCGCCTTCAGGGCTTGTTTCCTGCTCACAGCCTCCTGTTGTGTGTTTAAAATACTGTCAACTTCTGGTTTAGTGTTTGATTCAGAGAGGGTGGTGACAGTTTGTGAAGACCCCTTAGAGTTAGGAGTGGATGCGCTGCTTCTGGATTGGGGAGGAGTGTGTGCATTGAGGTGAGGTGTGTTGTTGTGGCCTGCATCTTGTTTGGGGAAGGTATTAGAATGCTGTTTATTCTCAGTGTTGGGAGTGGTCGTAGTGTCTTTGTTGGACTCACACTGTGGTCCGGATGCAGGTAATTTCTTGACAGGTTCCTCTGTTTTGCTTTTGATCTCACTAGGACTTTTGTTAGTTTTAGTTTGCTGGGCTACACCTACCACCACCTCTTTAGTCTTGGTTTTATCTTGTGCTGGTTGGAGTTTATTCACCTCCTTCTGTTTAGTCGTAAAGTCTCTTGGCTTAGCGACGTCGGGCAGAGTTTCTTTTGGCTTACTGAAGGGACTGCTGAACCTGACTGCTTGGCTGGTTTCATACATCTCCGACCTCTGTAGATGGACCTGATTTTGTTTTTTGTTATCACGAATGTTAATGAACCCGATTACATCACTGGCCGGGTCGGGCTCTGGCCAGGTGGGCAGGTATGACATCATGCACACTTTCTCTAGATCTATGAGTCCAGGGTGGATGGGCGGAGCCTCCTGTGTAGATTCTTTATTAGCCCCTTTCCCCCCATGATTCTTGGTTCCCTGGTTCTTGGAGTCCTCTGGATTGTTGGTCTTTGGAGGAGGAGTGGTGTGTGGGTTGCCCATAGCAACATATTTGGCACTGTACAGTTTCCTAACCATTTCAGCAGAAGGAGGGACGACTGCGACCGGCGCTGGGATGGGTTCCGATTCAGGTTCAGGCTCGATGGCGTCCTTACGGAGGTCTACTGAGTTGGAGGTTGCGTAGAGGACTCGAAACAGCTTGTCAAAGGACTCCACTGCCTGGCCTGTAACCACGGTGATGAGATTTCTGTCCAGCCTCGATGCAGACCAAGTGAAACTACAGAACATACAACAGATACAAAGTTAGTCTACCTCTAAGCACAACAAGATATTAAATGTTGGCAAAATACCAATGACTGAACCATCCATTAATTTAGAGACTGCACTGTGCATGCATTTATGTCTCTTGTGCATTGGATACATTTAAAACCTGTTGGTCTTGCTTGTAGAGATAATGCTACCAGACACTAACAGTACATTCTTTATTCACATTTCACGCTAGGCTCAAAGACACAAAGAGAGGTGGAGCGCACATACAGTAGATAATCTGTTTCTTTCTTTGTCTATATTTATCTCTTTCTTACAATCTCTTTGAAAAATGCTCACACACACATTCACACATACACACACTCTAAGTGCACTGACCTGTAAGACCCAGACACAGCTTTGTCTCCATCGATGAACATGAATCTGTGTCCCATTCGCCCTCTGATCTTAGAACAGGACCGGGTGTAGAACTCTGCTCCATCTGTGCAGCGTACCCTGAGGTTCTGTAACACGCACATACATGCAAAGAAGATGAATATAATCTTCTCCAAATTCAGAGCTATTTTTTAACCTGTGACCTGCATGATGTAATGGTTACACAACAATGACAGGGACCAATTCATCTTCCATTAATGGGTCAGATTATGCAAATGTGTAGGTTCACACATGTATTTTGGTGTCAATGGAACATGTTTACATGCTTTACGTTAAAAAAGCACAACATATTTCTCATATTGTCTGTCTGAATATACCTGCATTTGCTCTCTATCTGATACGTTTTGTTTAAACCCAGCTGCAGGAAAAAAAAAGCCTAATCTGCTCGGATTGGTGTGCGGGAAAAGTATGGCACACCTTTGCCAAGGTAGTTCTCAACGCATTTAGATACTCAAATGGGGAGGTGTATTTCAATGAGCCTGAATGTGACATAGGAAGTAAGAAAGCTGACTGGGTTGTCCTTTTTATCAAATTGACGGTTGGTAGGCAATCTAGATTGCAAAATGTATGTGCACAAGCATTAAAAAAGCGTTTCTTTGAATGATATTTCCCGATTAAGTTAAGAAAGTAGACTACAGATGGGATCACGCCAGCCACAACACCAAACCGGACAGATTATTGCAGTGTGTGGTGCAAGGAGGCTGCTTTCTACTTTGTCCATTCCTACTCTCGACTTCCAGGGCCCTTGCTCGGGTCACACCCTTCGATGAACTCTGCCTTTGTTTTGATCTCAACTGTAAAGTTTCATAACTGTATTTTATGGCGTTGACAAATCTATCCACAGATAGACAGACATATAAACACCTGGCAAAGCAATCCAGATCTCTTCCTGGGAGTTTTCGCTACAGTAGGTGTGTCCAGGTATTTACAGTTTCTTTAACTATGATTTAGGTTTTCTATGTGTATATCTAACCATATTCTATAGAAGTTGAAAAAAACTGTGGACTCTTTAAAGAAAACCCTACAGCCATATCAGTGGTGTAACAAGGTTGTGATTGGCCCCGGTTCAAATATTGTTTTGCACCGCAAATTACAAATGTATTTAGGTTGCTTGGTTACTTTGAAGACTGCGTGAACCGGTCAATGCCATTGGGGCCCCACAAAATAAAAAATAAAAATATATATATTAAAAAAATATCGTTATTTAAAAAAAACATTTTTTATTGCATGGGCCCCTGGCCGGCTCTGGGCACCATCGATGGTTACGCCACTGAGCCATATATAGAGACTTATTAGCAGTAATTTATTTTAATTTAACCAAGTAGCCACACTTATTCAAACTGCAATTACACAGCACATTCAAAGTAAATACTGTGATTAAATATTACACAACCAACAATACTATAATTGCAATTGATCCTAATGTAATCTATGTCTTGTCTTTACTTGACTTTAGTGATATTATCTTGGTCGTTGTTGGAACTTGTGTTTCGCTCATCTCCGTCTGAAAAACACACCATGTTTACTGTAAGCAATTCTTCTGTATCGGGATTCCCTCAGATTCAAAGCCGGTGTCCCTCAGGGCTCAGTTCTCAGTCCACTTTTGTTGTTTTGCTCTGAAAGGCCTACACGCGTGACTATGTAGCTGTAAAGCAATATATTAAATGAGGGCTAACACTTAACCAATCGTTATGATAATAAATGGGTGGTACAGTTTATGTACCTGCAATCATAAAACACTGTAATAATGTTTCAGATAAGAGATTACACATGAAAGGAACCTCGAACAAACACTTTGTCGGTTCAATCGCTCTGACTCACTTTGTGTTTCTTTGTTTCTTCTTTCCTATCTTCTTTTATTTCTTAAGAACAGATGTGTTTACCAACATCTGTCCGACATTAAATACGAAAACTGCATCCTAATTCTGTGAGAGATATGCAGACCTTTGTTTCCCATAATCCATTGTTGAACATCAGTAGTTTTCGATTAGGTTAGGTAGTTAGGAAGTGTTTATTAGGTCCTTTTAAACATTCAAAACAATCAGGAAATGGCATGCGATTCAGGTTTTTTATAAGGTGTTTAGATTATGTTAGTGTTCAGTAAATGGTCCATATAGCATAACTGCATAGTGTAAATAGTATATTTTAAATATGGGGTCAAATTAAAATGATTGCAACCTAGCTTCAGCTTTTGCTTTCTGTCTGACATGGTTTGGTAGTACATGTTCAGCTCTTTGAACGCTGATTGAGCTCTCTTTCCTGGTGATAGATTGAAACATTTTGACTTACCATACCACTTTGGGTAGTTTAGATTGAACTATCTTGTTTTCGGGAAAGCCAAAAGTTCCTTTGAAAAGACACAGCATAATGAGTCACGTCGGTGTCTAAGGCCAGGTCCTGAACTGAAAAGGAGCCAAGTAATTGTATAACCAGTTATCCTGATGCAGCAGATTATTCCTGGTATGGCTTTTCTCACAGTAAAAACACTCCACCCTACTTTGGTCCCACCCTTGACTCTCTCTTCCCCGCAGTACATTCCTTTTACCAACTGATTAGATCAAATCAGCAACTTGCATTTCTTTGTGTGTTTAACTCTCTAAACTCTAGATGATGAGTGCTTAAGATGTCCTATAAAGAATGCTGTGTAAAAGCACAACCACCGTATTAAATTGCAAAGCACACATAGCTCTGCATAGCACCAGAACTAACTGAAAAACAGTGGCTAGGAGGTGAGGCTTAATGAAAATGCAAGTGGACATGCTTTCTCGCCCCAATGATGTTGCCGGGAGATCCAGAGAAGATGTAGGGAGTTTTATATTCAAAGGTTAGGCCAATTTGGCTTCATGCACCACTGAGCAACTTTCATGGGAATGAATGGGGGCCTTGCTTTCAATGCTGTATCCAGTTCTCTTTGTACATCCGTGCCAGAGGGCGTGGGAGAGAATAATCTGGCACCTTTTTACCTATACACATGGACCTAATTTCCACTGGGGACAGGGGGGACATGTCCCCCCCACTTTTCAAAATCCAGTTTGTGTCCCCCCCACTTTTCAAATGTGTTTTTTTTTTACGCAAGTGGTCATCGTCACGGAGGAGCGTCTGTTTGTGTGTGTGGCAGGAGCGCAGTTTGTGTGAGAGACAGAGAGAGACAGAGAGAGAGAGATAGAGAGATAGAGAGAGACAGAGAGACAGAGAGAGAGAGAGACAGAGAGAGACAGAGAGAGTTACATGGGTTGTTGTTAGTATCTGGTGCTAGCTTGGAGCTAACGGAGATTAGAAGCTTTTTCAACAATAAGGAGAGGGAGAGTCCTCTCCTGTCGGACTGAGAGGCTGAGATAACGTCAGCTCAGGGAGGTAAAGGACTCGCTGAGTGATTGTAAACTTTAGTTATCTCAGTGGGTCTCAAACGGTTTGGTCTAAACAAATATGTCCATCTATTTAATATAGTTGTTCAAAATAAGTTAACAAATAATTCCAATGTCAGTAAAAAATAAAAAAACACAGTTTGAATGGGAAGTGATTAGTAAAATATGCATAAATAAAAAGAAAGAATGCAGACTAGGTAAGATAAAGATAGGAGAGAGGAGTATATCAATGATGTGTTATTGGTTGTGAGCATATTCTAATGGTTTTTGGAGTATTGAAATATATACAGTTCTGTTTCATATGAGTGTTGAGAGTTGTATCCATAAATCTCTTACTTTGTGCACCAGATTGATGCTTTAACTTCAATTTAAAGACAAATCTTACCGGGGGTGCATGCCCCCGGACCCCCCTATAGGATGTGAGGTAATCACAAATAAAACAGGTTCATGGATAGATAAGTTTGCACACTCATTATACACACTATACATTTTTCTTGGATTAGTTAACACCATAATCCATAATATAGATTTGTAGAAAGGCAGGAAATGGAATTAAATAGAGAACAATGTTTCATTTAATGATATTCGCTTTGACAACTAGACTGTATTTCTGCAACTACCATGCCTTAGCGGTAAAGCTGTGTTACACTATAACAGTATATTGTACAACATATGAAACCATGCTTGAAACGAGTAGTTGTATGTGCTGATTTGTATTAAATGGATAACCACGAGCCAATGGTTTATTTCAGGGATCAAACATCAGACTTAATTCAATCTAGGTTTTGAGTGCACTGTGGGCATTTCAGAAAGCAAGCAGTTGCAATGTGAATAATACAGGGAGAGAACAGCCATCCAGTTTAGCTAAAATAAGAAATTCATTTGCCATGTGTAATTGTCATATGTTTATGTTTAGAAATCATAAACTGCCACATGGGACTGTGAACATGTCTGCTGTTTTGCTTATGATCCAGATACAGATGGTACTTTAAGGCAGTCAAGCTGTTACTGCATTTGCGATTCACTTAAATCACTCCAAGGCACACACTGGCAGAAAGAGACAGAGAGTGAGTGTGGGTGTGTGTGTTTGTGTTTGTTCTTCATTGTTTGACTTCTTCCTGCCAAATTATGATCTAAACCAGTGTATACCTTATCAGTAAATACCACTAGGAACATAATTAGTTAAACACATTGTAAGCCCTTGTGGAAAATTCCCAACCTTGCTTATACTGTAAGTTATTTAATTGAAATGATCGCCCCATGGAAAGGAGGACAAACTCAGCCGCTCGTAAATACACAAATTGCAAAAAGGCTTATCGTGTACAGAGCAGCAATTACGTGTACAAATAAAACAATTGTGCTCGTCACGTGTCTGGGAAGCTTTCAATGTTCCTAACAAGCTGACTCAAATAACATACTTTATAATAAGCTTTAAAACAGTTGATAGGAGGACTATAGGAATAATGACATCAGCATTCAATAAAAACCAAACAAGGAACTTTTTGTAAACATACCAATATACACAGAGACCTGCCTGGCTCACAACATTTTAATAAAGAGGTTGTTGATGACTTAAAATTAAGAACTGTTTTAATCCTGTTCTTAAAAGAGTGTAGTATACGACTGGAGGAAACACTACAGAGATATTCTTACAGGCTTACTGGCAGCTAGATTAAAAGATTCCATTCCTCAGGAGAACAATTCACTGGAGATGTACTTTCCCTTTATCTGAAGTCTACGTGTCTGAACATGACCAAATGTGTGTTCTAACTTGGGTTTTTCATGGTAGCCGGCCAACTATGGAATGAAACAAACACCCAAGGTAGACACAAGGAGGTAAAATATTCATATGATACAGTGCCAGCTGGTTGTTATTTGAGCCTTTGTGTGAGTGCGTGTGTGTGAGAAAAATGATAGAGGGCATGTGCTTTCACTTATCCATGCATAACGAAAACCTCTTGACTTCAATTGCCTCCTTTTTCTTCATATTATCAATTTTACTTTTTGTGTTCAACAACAGTGCCTTACAGTCCCATAAGGACTTGATCATTTTCTGCATTACTGAAAATCTGGAAATTCCCCCCTGTGATCAAAGAGCAAAGATTACTTCCGCTTTGGTGACACATTTACACTGAATGAAACTGCAACTTTGAGATTTTATCCTAACAGAATAGATAATTAACTCAAATGTTCTGTTTTTATTCTGGTCATCATATTGGTTAGTCAGTTGAACAGGGTGGTCTCAAGAGCAATATGTGGCAAGATTGTCATAACATTTTTCAAAAACACAAATTAATTTTACGTAACACACATTGGCTCTCAATAATAATAATAATAATGGGGGATTTGTTTTATATATTATTGGTTTTTGTGCACGTAAATAGTCTGCAAAGGCTAACATCCCTCACCCCCCCTGCCTGAAAGGCCTCGATTGGACTCCTTTGCTTACTTCCGTATCTTAATGACATCACTATAACACTCACATTCCTATTGGCTAGCGCTCCAACTGTTGGCTAAGGGGTGGGAGATCTGTAAGCGGTTGGCCAGCAAACCAATCAGAGCAGACTGGCCTCTGGTTTCAGACAGAGGGTGAAAAGAGGTGCTGCAGCACAGGCAGTCTGAGAAAAATAAAGAGCTTTTTGAACATTAAAGCATGGAGACATGTCAGAGTAGAGGCACGAAATACAAATATAAACCTGAAAATGAGCACAATATGTCCTCTTTAATTCTAGCTACAACTAATCCTTACTCTTTGATGCTTAACATCAGACTGGTGCTGACTCACCTTGAGGTGTCCGGCGTGCATTTGTGCCCTCTGACACATGGACCGGAAATGAGGTAGTGTTGAGCTTTCCAAAAGGATGTAGACAGAAACCTTCCTCTTGAAACCAGCATCAAGCAAATCCCTGAAGATGTCAACATCAGTAAACACATCCATCACTACTCCTATAACCTGGAGGCAAAAACACAAAACACCTGCGTCACACACACTGGAAAATACTCAAAAAGACATTGTTTATGCAGGAAAGTAAGGAAATACATGCACATACTTATAACTACGCAGCAAGATCAAGCCTCAGGCATAACTGTGAGGTTACTGAAAACATTACACATTGAATCTTTTGTGCCAAGACAAATAAGATTCAAGTTGTTTCACAGGTTTGAGTAATTTATGATGACACAAATTATTAAAGGTCCCATGTCATGCTTTTCCGGTTATTACCCATCCCCTTGTGTGTTATGTAGCCTTCTATGCATGTAAACCGTCTGCAAAGTCACAGCTAGTGGAGCCTCGCAGATGGGGGTGCTGCAGCTCCCTCTGCCCCCCACTTCCCGCATCCATTCGCGATGTCTCGCTGTCTCGCAGACCCCACGCAGCAACCAGGAAACGACACCAGTAACCCAGCTCAAACTGTCCGCTCCTCACAGCAGCGAGCCGCGCAACATCCCGCCAACACGGCACCCAGACCCCACGCAGCATTCTCATCTGTTTATCATTACTGGTGTCACTTTCTGGTTGCCAACGCCATTGAAACACATAATCACTGATGTTCCGCTGTAACGGTGGTGGACTCATCAGAACAGAGTGGGCGAGCTGACCAATCAGAGCAAACTGGACTCACAGGAAGGGGGGGGGGGGCAGGAGCTCCAACAAGCCGTTTAGGACAGAGAGTGAATACACATACTGTAGGAGCCATGAAACATGTTTAGTAATCCTTTATGTTTAAATATAAGATATTTGTTTGAGCACTATTTATTGGTTGGCTTGGGTCACATGGATATGGGCGGCACTCATTGTAATCCTGTTCACCTGCGTGAGGTGTGTGGGGAAGAGAGGGTGACACAGGGCCGTTGTACTTTTTTGTTGACCGCAAAATGTACGATTGCTGTGATTATTATAACAATGTATATGTCTGATCACCGAGTTTTTTGTGATTAAACTACAATACTATGAAACAGAGCTTTTGATCTCAGCAAGTACTTTTTTTAGCGTGTCATACAACATCAAACAGGCCCGGCCTCAGCCTCTCATTCGTTCTTGCGTGGTGACATCTGTTCCCTCGTTCTACATACAACCTCAAACGTACTACGAAATAAACCGCATCCAACTACCTACGTATACTCCACACGAACACCCCCCCCAGTAACAGACAGATCGTCGACTCGAAGTAGACTTAACTGTTCAAATTCACACTGTACAAAATAAAAGTACGTCGAAAAGAGTCTCTGTACACCCAGACGCAGCTTACGTGGTTGACCTACGCCTTGACTTTTCGAACGACTGTCGATTTAATTCGTATTTGCCTCTCGACACTCTCTTGGACGTGCTTGAAGGCGAATTTAATATGGAATTTCCTTTGTC